CACTAGATGGCGTAAGTACACCACTTTATAGTATGAGGTAGCGAATTGTACTTAAATTGTGTTATGTTTTTATATTATTGTTCATTTACTATTCTTTTTATCATTCAGTTTATCTAAGAATTTTTAGTTACATTAAAATGTTTACTCACTTTCTAAATGATCACGTTGACTTTAAGTGAGTTTGTGTGTAGTATTAGACTGATATCAGCTCCCCTATCGGTGACGTACAGAAATTATTAATATAACAATAATATGATTCGTGATAGTTACATTAAAATGTTTACTCACTTTCTAGATGGTCACGTTGACTTTAAGTGAGTTTGGTGTGTAGTATTAGACTGATATCAGCTCCCCTATCGGTGACGTACAGATATTATTAATATAACAAAAGATTATGTAAATTTATGGTCACATGAGACGTAATCTAACGACTGAATAAAAGCTATGTCATGAGATTCAACAAGTTAATTTACGAGATATAACTGACAGGTATTATTGTTTTTTATTATTTGGTATTGTTTAAATACGGAACATCGTTATTTTGGATTTAAGTTTTTATTTGTCTGGATCTTTTTCCTGTTTTTTCTTATTTATTGAACTCATTATTAACCTATATACGTATGTTATATTGTCTAATAACGTTAGTATCAAGTCCTGGCCATATTTATTTACTGTGTTTTCGTAAATTATAAACTTGATAGTTTCATTTTAGAGTTCTGTGTTTCAACCCTGCTTGTAGCGGCTGTTTGTTTTAAACCGTTACAATACTATTATAATAACTTTGGGTCTATTATATTTTTGTTTTAAAACCACGCTTTCTATTCAGGGAGTTTTCAAAAAAAAAAGAGAACATAATATTATTTCAGTGACACCGTGTCTACTGAATCCACTTCAGACGACGCGTTTAGCTCAATACAGAGTTCATAATGTAGTTTGGTTTGAATTTCTCGCAGTGATAGACTAGAGGGAAGTCAGTTAGTCGAAACCACCCACTGCTTACTCTTTCACCAACGAATAGTGAGATTGACTGTCACATTATAACGTCCCACAGCTGAAAGAGCGAGTATGTTCGGTGTGACGGATATTCGAACCCTCGATCTGTGAGTCTAGCGCCCTAACCACCAGAGTTCAATAAAATAAGTGTCTCATGATAAGTATAATTAGATATATTCATGTTTTACCAACTTAGCAAGGGGGTAAAAATTGTCATGTAACAACAAAACTTGTAATACATCAATTGCAGATTTTATTTTCGCGTTTCTTTTCAATTTTTTATTACGGATTCAAATTAAATTCGTGTTAAAATGGTATTTCAGATTTATCTTTCGTCCCCCATAAGTCACTGCTCAAGAGGTCTTTCGTTCAATACCAGAAATCGTCAGTTAGGCTGGACGATGAGAGATAAAAGACTGTAAAACGGTATACACTATGACATTTTAAAAATTACGGTTTACTAAACGCCGAAAGTTGTATTATATCGTCTTAAAGTTTATGACAAAAATTATGCTAACTGCAAATGTCCCTCCCCCCCAAACTCCTCTTTCTTTGTCAGTTGTCATAATAAAAATATTACAGATTATTGCTATAAAGCTACAAATTATTCTTGTTAAAATCAGACTTGTACCATTGTTAATCGCTGAACATTTTAAACCAATTACACAATAAACAATTCAGTCAGAGTTTGTGGCCAATTGAACCTCGAGTTAATGCTGATGTATTTATTACTCTTGTTTTGGTTTCTATTGTTTAGCGGGTGCTGTTGGATATAAAGAATAATGAAAAGTCCACTTAACGATAATAAAAACGTTTTATTTCATAACTACATTATGTCTAATTAGAATTACAGGTGCTAATTTCATATCGTTGTTCAAACAAAACTTGAAATCTACAGGATCAACTAACAGACATCGTGTACTTAATAACGAACAAAGACTCGCTAACTAACTATGTTTATATATGGTTCAGATTGTTTCGAAATCTTTCAAGAAGGTGCTAACCATTAAGGCCACGTTAATCGCATGACGATAAACTTCCATCCTGCTAAACAACAATACAAATTTTGAGAAACATCAAGAGTAGGAAAAAAGACAGGTTACAACAATATTATTGTCTAACAATACAATATAATTAATGAAATGTATTACAGTTCTCTAGAGGACTAACTTAGATCATAAAAACACAACCATTATCAGTTCCCAAGATCAGATTGTTTGTCTTAGAGCAAACCCTCGTTAGGTTATCTGCTGTGTCCACCACGGAAAATCAAATCCCAGATTTTAACGTTGCAATTCTGTAAATTTACCACTGTCCTACCAAGAAACCTCTTTGTCAGAGAACTAACGTACATCATGAAACCGACATCATCATCAGTTCATAAGACCAGACAACAATATCAGGATAACAACGTCATTATCAGCTCTCCAGATCAGATGAGTAACTTACACTATTATAATAAAGTCATTACCAGCTCTCCAGACCAGATGAGTAACTTACACTGTTATAATAAAGTCATTACCAGCTCTCCAGACCAGATGAATAACTTACACTGTTATAATAAAGTCATTACCAGCTCTCCAGATCAGATGAGTAACTTACACTATTATAATAAAGTCATTACCAGCTCTCCAGACCAGATGAGTAACTTACACTGTTATAATAAAGTCATTACCAGCTCTCCAGACCAGATGAGTAACTTACACTATTATAATAAAGTCATTACCAGCTCTCCAGATCAGATGAGTAACTTACACTATTATAATAAAGTCATTAACAGTTCTACAGACCAGATGAATAGCTTACACTATTATAATAAAGTCATTAACAGCTCTCCAGACCAGATGAGTAACTTACACTGTTATAATAAAGTCATTACCAGCTCTCCAGACCAGATGAATAGCTTACACTATTATAATAAAGTCATTACCAGCTCTCCAGATCAGATCAGTAACTTACACTATTATAATAAAGTCATTACCAGCCTCTCCAGATCAGATGAGTAACTTACACTATTATAATAAAGTCATTAACAGTTCTACAGACCAGATGAATAGCTTACACTATTATAATAAAGTCATTACCAGCTCTCCAGATCAGATGAGTAACTTACACTATTATAATAAAGTCATTAACAGTTCTATAGATCACAACTGTCAGAAAGTATTCCAAGACGAAGAATAATATTTTTCAATATACAACATACACACCTAGGAAAGATTTACCAATCCTTCAATAACATTTAGGTCAACTATGCACATAGCCACGTGTTGCAGGCCAGTTTACATTGGAAGCTAATTATAGGAGATTGGTGGGAGTTAAAAACCAGAATGTCGATGAATGAAAGACAGCAGACTGTAAACCCGATTAATTCCGTTTTTCTCTACAGCATCTATAGTTAGAAGTTTAAATCGCGATTTAAAAACGTGAAAATTCAGATTTATTTATAGCTATCTGTTCAGCTGTTACGTTGGGTTTAAAACCGATCGAAAGACCTCTTGGTAGTGACCTGTGGGAGACGGAAGATGGATCCGAAATGTTATTTTTTGTACCTTTGATTCGAAATAGATAACCAAGAGTAGTGAGAGGATTTGTTTGTTTTTGAATTTCGCGCAAAGTTATACGAGGTCTATCTTCTCCAGCCGTTCTTAATTTAGCAGTGAAAGACTAGAGAGAAGGCAGCTATCATCACCACCCACCTTCAACTCTTGAGCTACTCTTTTACCAATAAATAGTGGAATTGATCGTAACATTATGACGCCCCCACGGCTGAGCATGTTTGGTGGGAAGTGAGAGGGAAGCATCTGTTTACGTGATTTTTATCACAACTTTTAGGCCTAATAGTTTCCAATGTTTCGCCCCCTTTTGTCGTTTAAACGGAAGCATCTGTTTACGTGATTTTTATCACAACTTTTAGGCCTAATAGTTTCCAATGTTTCGCCCCTTTTTGTCGTTTAAACCGTATCTTTTAAAAGTTTAAAAAATTAACAAACCTCAAGTGAACGTTCTAAGAATAATAAGTGTATACAGTATATCAACAAAAATTCATAAATATTCTAAGGAAATTTTCAGTTAGCCGACGACGTTTATTTGATTTGTGAAAAACATATTACAGTGTTGTCTCGCTTGTTCAGCCTTCAAACAACTTAAGTACACTATTGATCTTTACATAAAGGGTTTACGAAAAATCAAATCAAACGTACAGCTTCCAATATGCTACTCTAATTTAATACAGAAACAAACTTATTAGCTTTAGATGTAGTGAAAATAAAATTATTTAAGGAAAATCGTAATTTTTGGAAGGTAATCGGCGTCTGTTAGCGCCATTGTTAATATATTTCATTATTCTGTCGGCTAATTACTTATCCTAATAAAAATACGATATTACTAAAACAGTATTTTGAAGTTCATCAGAGAATGAGTTAGTAAATTAGCCAATCAGGGTGTATGTGATCGATCTACTAGGGAGGAAATTCTACAAGTAAGTTTATTTGTGAGTTAACATACATTAATTTTGGAGTTTCGATTAAAACGTTGTTGGTGAAGTTACACCTAGCAGTGAACAGAGCCTGTAGCAACGTTTTAAAAAAATATTGTTGTTAAGTAGACTGAACTTTACATTATTCTTACCAAAAAATAATTCAAATATTTTATTTCCTAAAAAAATTAAATACAAAAGCTGACCATTTGTCCGAAAATTAAAACTACCTAATTTGCAGATGATTTCTAGCCTGCTAAATCTTAAACTAGTCCTATCACTTTTTCCATAAAACATGGAAAATAGATGAGGCGTCAATGTTATCTATTCCCTGAATAGTTCCCACCACTTTCACCAGATTCTCTCTAACCCTTCTTTTCTCAAGATAAATTATTTGTAAGGATCTGAACCTGTCCTCATATGACAGTCCTCTTCCATCCTATAGTCCTCATTTGAACCTTTCCCAATACTTCAATGTCTTTTTTTAAAGCAAAGAGTTCAAGATTGAACACGAGCATCCAAATGAGGTCTAACCGGAGACACTGATAAATAAACGAGTACCACCATATTCAATATTCCTGAACAGTGTTACTTGTGGTTTTAATTTTATCCTAAATACTTTGGCATGACGTATGAGGGAACAGAAAAACAAAACATCCGAAACAGAAAGCAAAATCTCACATGCAGCTGAGTATATGCAAAATATAAGTATGATTTCTTATAATTTCAGCATAAGATAAATAATGAAAATTATAGCAAAAGGTTGGAGTGGAAATAACTTGATAGTTTGTGACAAAGAATTTAGTATAAAACGTGTTTTAGGGGTAAAAATGATATTCGATTTCTAAAATCTAGTGTTGTAAACAACATCGCATACGTTCCACACAATACAATTAAATTCCATTCAAGTTATCACAAGAAGAACAGCGTTTCCAAGATCTTCGTAGTATCCGCTTCAATATATATTTTCTGCTAGATCCAATGCATCCTATAAATCGTCTTCTAGAATTTTCAGGAACAACATTATCGTTAGTAGTCACTTCGAAACAATGGCGTTTCAGTCGAAACTGATTGATGATACCCACCAGCAGCTCGTCCAGGTGATGATTAAGTCCTGTTGAAATTTCAATAAACTTGCAGCCATGGGATTTTGCCAGCGAACGACCCTCTGGAAAGCAACATAAGATATGTTCTGTTTATATTCTGAAAACAAAAAGTATTTTTCTGTTATGCCCTCAGTGTTTAACTTATAGTTAATTTCTCTGAAGTCACATCTCTTGCTAAATGCCATCTTAAAAATATTGCCTGAAGCTATATTTTCATTGTTATAATTTATTTCTTTATTAGAGGGAGCTGCGAACGATGATGATGTAATAATCGAGAAGCTACGTTCAATGTCTACAGACGAGCAAACATTATTTATAAATACAAATAATCACTTAATGAAGTTAATGAGTATTCAGTGAGTTTATTAGTTCAGTGTCAAGAAAATTATTTAATGTTAAAAATGAGGTTTATTCAGCTACTGATCGACCAGCGGGGAAATTCTGTAAGTAAGTTTATATGTGAGTTAGGCGTTTTCCACGAGTCTCGGAATTTCTGTTGAAATATTGTTTATACACGTAAGTTTACAATACAAGTGAAAGCAGCCTATAGCAGACTTTAAGAGAGAGAAATAAACTATGTTGTTATGGTTACGTGGACTGGACTTGGGGTTATTTTCATCAAATAAACCAAAAGAACCCGCCCAACGAAAAACAACATTATTATAATAACTGTAAACTATTTTACTGACTCGTGTGAAACGTTTTTCAGGGGTTATTGTCATAAACTATTCTACTGATTGTTTTATATTCTTATCTTATTAGATAACAGACAATATATGTAATAACAATAATAATAACCAACCTTCAAGAGATATCTTCCTAAGCCTAACTAGGTCCGTTTTATTCCCCACTAGTATTACAGTCTTTTTTGTTGTGTCCACACATCTCGTCATTTGGCTAATAAAGTTCCTGGCCCTCTGGAAACTTATTTTGTCAACTACAGAATACATGACAACGTAGGATGCTACATCTAAGTTCAGAAGTGCTGAAATCTAAACAGAATGACATACTCAATTAATGAGGGTTTGTTTTGTTTTATTTTTTGTTTTTAAGCGCAAAACTACACAATGGGCTATTTCTTCGAAGCCTGTTTTTTTAAAGAGTTATATACATAAGTCTTGAGACTTAACGCTGAGCCACCGAGACATTTATAACTAACGCTAAGACTAGTTTTCATTGGCACATCGGGTACCTAGTCTTTGTAGTACATCACGTCAAACCTAGAGAGACAGCTGAAGTGATATTAGTAATATATTACAATTTTTTTGACAGCAATTCTAACAATATATACTCATTTTCTGTTCCTTCTATAAATAAGTAAACACCAAGCTGACATCTTTGGAGATAAAACTAAATTTGTAAGTTTATTTTCTCTCAGAAGTAACGGTATGTAACACATTTGTGAAATAACCTACCAAGTCAGTTTCACGTTTTGTTTAGAAAATCTCCATACCTATCAAGTTAACATGATATTTATTTATTAATTAAACCACCAAACCTACAAAGTTAGCATGACATTTTATTTATTTAGTAAACCACCATACCTATCAAGTTAACATGACATTTTATTTATTTAAGTAAACCAACATACCTATCAAGTTAACATGACATTTATTTATTAATTAAATCACCATATCTAATAAGTTAACATGACATTTTTTTATTTATTAAACCAACATACATACCAAGTTAACGTGATATGTTTTTATTTAGTAAACCAACATACCTACAAATTAACATGATATGCTTTTTTTATTTTGTAAGTCAATATATTGTTACGA